TTGTGCAAATAAAAAAACTATTTTGTTTTTTATTTTATTTTTGTTTTTAATTTTATTTTGTTTTACAAGCACATTTTAGAACTTTAAAATACAATAAAAATGAATATGATTTGGAAATTGTATGTAAAAAAAAAACAATCGGTGTTTTAAACAAACAAACAAAAAAAATCTATGACATCATGCACTAAAACTCCTATGAATTAAACGTGCTTGAATAAATTATCAAGTCTGTATAATGCACCTGGAAAATCGCGTTTATTTTACATACTCAAAATACCAGAGAAAACGGAGAAGACGAGCTTCGACTAAAACAACAAGATTTGTTTTTCTTGGTATACATTTATTAATTAGTTTTAATCAAAAAAAATTTGCTCAGACCTTTTTTTTAACATTCTCTTTAATATGAACACAACATGTCTTGAGACTTGGTAGTCCCTTTAAGAGTAGCAGGCACTACTGCGGTCTTGTTCATCGAGGTTCATATTTCAGAGTTATAGAGTTGAGAGAGGGTTGTAACTACAAAAAGTAACCTCTTTGGCTGTAGTGGCCCAGGGCCTATTTTAGGAAAAAAATCTGGGTGGCGCTACCTCCTCATTTTGGCAAACAGCAGAAAATCTGCAATATTTTTGCAAAAAAAAAAAAAAAAATTGCTGTAAAAAATGTAAAAAATTGTGAAAAAAAAATAGGTCCTCAAATTTTAATTTGGGTGTGACCAAATATGGTTGATGCTATTGAAAATGGTCTAGAATAACCCCTGTGGCCTCTCAGCCTTGGGGAGGTGAATAATTTAAAAAAAAAAAGTGCAGTGGTGCAAAATTCTATATTTTCAACTGCAAGTTGGTGCAAAAGAGTGGTCTAAATGCATCCTGAGACTATTTGCTGAGACTATTAGACAGCTTCTGAAGTAAAATATAGAGGTGTTTGCTTAGAGTTTTTGTTTTATCAAAAACAAGTTACATGACATAAGGCACATGTCTCTCATATATGTGGTGTCTGCATATTAGCAAGAGAACAGGCCATTCTAATTCATGATCATTAAAATTTCTTATAGGTCTTTTGTTCTTTCAGGTGTTGCTAGCTGTGGTGTCGGCACACGCCCCAATGATTTGATCTGATGGCTCATAGTATTTGAGGATACTTTGAATGGCTGTAGCCTGGTCTCTTACAGAAAATCTAGAGGGTATTTTACAAGAGAATGTTTATAGCTATCCATTTATGACTTGTGGAAATTGCTTCTTCATTGGTGTACTGCCTTATAATTTTAGTATCAAAGTGAATCACTAGCTTTAAGCCTCTTACTTTGTCCATGTTCTGTTGTCAGATAATCTGGGCTTCTGACTCTACTACAGTTTCCTGGTCAGAGTTAATCTTGAGATCTTCAACTCCTCGATATTAATACCACCAGCTTTATAAAAAGATGTCAACGTTTCTAGTCGAACACCAATAGCATATCTTGTCATAATTGAGATCCAACTGTATAGGAGTTCATCCATACTTAGCTTTTATTTTCCCTGAAATCTTTCAGGTCTTTGTAGGAGGCATAAAAGTTTCCTCAGAGTCTGGAAGGCTATCACTGTGTAAAGAGAGTGCTCTTTATTCTAATTCTTCTATTTTCCTTTTATTCTTTTCCTCCTAATTTCTGAGTTTTTCATCTTGTAAGCGCATTTTTTCCTTTATTATTCTTATTTTCTCCATAGCCAATCAAACTTCTTTTTTGAAATGTGTTATTAACTTTGGATCACTTTTTATCAAGTTAAAGATGTTGGCTTTATGAAATGGGAATAAGAAATTGCTTTTATTTAGAAAACAACTTTTTATTACCAAGTCATAAAGCCATTTAGTTGTTTACTTTTTTGCAGTAGCTTCCTTCTGGTATACTTAGATCTTGAATCTTTTTAGAAATTCATTGATCTTGTTGGTAGTTTTGTTTCAGGTTTGCTGCTCTGTGAGTATGGAATTGTTGTCGAATCCAGCTTTGCTTCATAAGTTTACTAGTTCTCTCAAAATGCAAACACAAATTATCAAATTATTTGAAAAAAACACTTCTTATCAAATTATTTGAAAAAAACACTTCTTATCAAATTATTTGAAAAAAACACTTTTTATCAAATTATTTGAAAAAAACACTTCTTATCAAATTATTTGAAAAAAACACTTCTTATCAAATTATTTGAAAAAAACACTTCTTATCAAATTATTTGAAAAAAACACTTCTTATCAAATTATTTGAAAAAAGTCTCTTGATAATTGAAAAATAAACTTTAATGAAATGAAAACTTACTTATCAAGTGAAACTTATGTTTTACTTGATAATTAAGTTTTTATTTCATTAAATTTCATTACATGTCTGTGCGCAATCAACTAACCTAAATTTTAAATGTTAGCAGAATTGGAAAACAAATCTTTTTTTTTTCCTAAAATTAAAATTTTTTTTATATTATTTTTTATTTTTCAATAATTTTTGTTAAGCATTATGTATAAAAATATTTAATTGCAAAAAAATACTTATAAATAATTTTAATAAAACATTTAAATAAAATAAAAAATGTGTTTGCTAAATTCTCCTAAAATAAAAAATGTTATTATAAAATAATAAATTTGATAACATACAAATAGCTTAAAGCCACCTTCAAGTTTTTTTTTTTGATTTTTGAAATAAAAATTTATTTGAGAAATCCTGGTGGACACCTATGGAAATGTGCACTGGTATGGATATCTAGATTGAGTGTTATTTTATAAATCTGAATGAAAACTTTAAAGAAGAAAAAGTATAAAAAGTTATCAAAACTTAAACTTTAAGTCTTTTTAAGGCAATACTGTAATTCCAAAATTAGTAGTTTCAAAAACATGAGGGAAACATCTGTATAAGAGAGAAACATCTGTATAAGAAAGGCTCATTAGTTGTGATGAATGCAATTCACCTAAGAGATAAAATACTCTAAAATAAAACCTTATTTAAAGATTTAAGCTTGATAAAGGTATTATATTAAAGTTGCATAAAATTCTTCCAGGTTTTAACTGAATCTTAACTGAATTCTGCGTACAAACATTTCTGCGTACAAACATTTCTGCGTACAAACATTTCTGCGTACAAACATTTCTGCGTACAAACATTTCTGCGTACAAACATTTCTGTTGCTTAGCACAACTTTTATTTTAATTTTGACATTGTTTTTATTTTTAATTGTTTAATTGAAATTGTTTTAAGTTTAAAAAAAGTTTAATTTGTTTCTTAATTATTACATTTTTAAAATAAAATGTGTCTTCACATGTGTTAACTATACTAAATCTTAACTTTTCAACTTCCTGATCTTAAATAATATTAAAATAGTCATACACACAGCTTTTTCATGCTTTTTATGTAAAGTATAACTTATTAAATAAACTCTATATTAATAGCAAAAAAATAATGAAAATTTTATAGTCTAGAAAAAAAAAGGTTTTTTATTTGCTAAAAAATAAATTTTTTAAAATAATATCAATTACAAATGACTGTTGCAGAGATACACCAGATCAATTTGTTCAATTTTATTTTGTATTTTTTATTTCAGATTTTTTTTATTACTCCACTATTATTATTTTGAGTGGAACTTTGGTGATCTGAATTGTTCAAGTTTATAGTGCATGAGCCATGAATCTTGCCTCATGCATTGCAACAGGTTGCTAGAATCTAAAGTTCTTAATAACTCTGCCAAGGAAGAATATACTTAGTTAGGCAGGTTTCATTATGAAGGGCACAAATCAAGTAAGCTTTTAACATAACAAATTCTTCTGAATCCAGAGCATCTGTAGTGGAAACACTTAATGTTAGTCTATTATTTTTAACATAAATGTTTTTCTGATCACAAATTTACAAGTTTATTGTCATTATGCAGCATTAATCTTTTTCTATTTAACTTGTTTATGATTTCATTTCTAATAAAATTGCTATGTTTCTTAATGCTTGCATATTGGTTTCTATGAAAAGTTGATAGAGATATTAACATTTTCAATATAAACATTAGCAGCATTAAAAATGCTAGTTAGCATATTATAAAAAGCTCTATGACTTTATTTTAAAGACCTCTATGACTTTATTTTAAAAACCTCTATGACTTTATTTAAAAAAAAACTTTATGACTTTTTGTATTTTGTAGCACAAACAGATGTTGCTTTAATAAGTACGCTCTAAGAGAATCTTTTTGTTTTTATTTTGTCTACAAAAAATATAATTTTACTCTGAGATATCTAAATTATATTCAGGAACCAAATACTCTGATGTAATATCTTTATTTTGAGAAACCTCTGCTTTTTCTCTTACAAATACATTTTTCTTCTGAACATTTTTCCTCCTTCTCCTTCTGTCTTTCAATCTGATTTAATTTTGCAAGCTTAATTTCAATCTAAACAAAAAAAAAAAAGAAAAAAAAAAGATTAAAACAATAGCAAAAAGAATAAATATTCTTTATACAAAAAAAAAAAAAAAAAACTTTTTACAAGTAGTTTTTATCTTTTCCTGAAATCATCATCTTTTTCACTCTTTTCTAAGCTTCTAAGAAAGATAAGTTTTCTTGAACTTTTTCATGATCTTTATCCTGGCTAATCCTCTTTTTGAAATCTTGTTTGGATCTTCTGAAAATCAAATTCAAGCAAAACTCAGCAAAACATTTAAATTTATCAAAATACATTCGATGCAACAAAATATACATAAATAATATGAGTAATTAGCGACAAGTGAAATAGTGCATATGATAATCTAATGAACTTATAAAATGGTTAAAAACTTTTATGTTCAATTTGTAAAGGATATAAAAGTTTTTTTATATCATTTACAAAAAGATTGAATAATTTTATCACCACAATAATTTCTTATTGTAGCTAAGCAACACAAAAAATTATCAATAATTTTTTTTTGCATCATTAACTCAAATAAAAGTATGAGTATTGTTATTTTTAATTATTATTTTTATAAATTATTGTTATTTATATATGAACGTTTTAATCTCTAAGTTTATTTATAGACAGATAATGCTAGTACAGTTGTTATGAAGCAGTCATCACATTATATTTGTTGTGGACAGAAGAATGGGAAGGTATAATTTCTTTTTTAATAAAGTCTAACCCTGAATATTCGTAGATATTTCCTATCTGAACATTCCAAGAATATTCCATTTTGAATATTCTATTTTGTAACTGAAAACTTATGAACATTCCAGGACTATTCCGTTCCTAAAATATTCCATTTCAGAATTTTGATTTATATGAAAATGCTGAAAAGCCCTTGCCAAATATGTTTTTTGGTAAAAAAAAGTTTAAATATGTTTTTTATTTAATTATTCTTTAAAAACTGTAATTTCCACATATATGCTAAACTTCATGTTTAAAACTGTTTTTTTCAATTAAAAAGCAAAAAAAATTTAGATCTCTATATATTATTGCCAAACTTAATAGTTTTAGTAGTAGTGTTAGTGCTCATAAGAGTGTGTTTGACACGTAACCCTTGGCAGCCATTGCAACTGAGTTAGTGGCAAGAAAGAGTCGCAGCTTTGTTTTATAAGAAAACGTGAACGAGCGTATGCGAATATCTAATGTATGTAAACTTCAAGTCATGTAATGTTAAAACATACTGAAACATTTATTAAGTTTTACAGTTTTATTTTCAATTAAAAATTGCATTGCGTCAAGCTCTCCTTTTTTTTGATCTATAACATTTATTTCCATTAAAAAAATCATTTTATAGTTTAAAAATTTTGGAATAACAATATGTGGTAGGTTCGAGTCCTACCACACGTGTTGCTGTGGAGGCAAAAAAAAAAAGCTCATCGCTAGAAAAAAATTCAAAACTTTTTTTGACAATTAAAATTTTTTTTGCTACATTTATTTTTTCACTACAAATATATATGCTGCATAGTTTTTTAAAACGCCTAAATATGCTTATTACATATATCGAGTAAAACGCAATTTAAAAAAAAATTATTATGAGAAACTCTTTGTAAAATGTATATTGTATAATGTTTGCAAAGAAACATACAAATCATTTTTAAATTTTAATATTAACTCAATCCCAAGATTGCACTATTCTTGATGTTATTTCTGATCAAATTGACCAAGCCCTCTCTCTTTATCCATCAGCCAATATCGTCGTTGTTGGTGACTTTAATGCCCACCACACCGATTGGCTTGGCTCTAGTGTCAGTGACTCTGCTGGCGTTAAGGCCCTCAACTTTTGCCTTTCTCAATCTCTAACTCAAATAGTTAACTTTCCAACTCGTTTTCCAGACAACCCTAATCATTTACCTTCTCTACTCGACTTATGTCTTGTTTTGGATCCTAGTCAGTGCTCAATTTCTCCACATTCACCCTTAGGTACTTCTGATCACGGTTTGATCTCTCTAAAACTATTATCAAATTCTTCTACTTCATCAGAATCCCCCTATCATCGTGCCACATACAACTACCTTAAAGCTGACTGGGACTCTTTCCGTGATTTTCTTCGTGATGGCCCTTGGGTAGAAATCTTTCGTCTTCCTGCTGACAAATGTGCTTCTTACATAACTTCGTGGATTCAGGCTGGCATGGAATCTTTTATTCCCTCTCGACGATTCCAGGTCAAGCCTCACTCTTCTCCTTGGTTTTCCTCACATTGCGCTGCAGCAATTTCTAATCGAAACTGTTACTTCCATATCTATCAGCAAAACAATTCTCCAGAAAACAGACATCTGTTCACTATCGCCAGAAACCATTGTAAAAAGGTTTTGTCTGACGCCAAAGCTCGCTATTCCCAGGTCATTAAATCTCGTATCTCATCACAAAAATTAGGCTCTCGAGACTTCTGGAGAATCTTTAACAGTATCAATAATAAGGGCAAATCTGTTATTCCTTCTCTCTTGTATGGTTCAGACTTTGTCACCTCACCTAAAGACAAAGCTGAATTGTTTGCTAAGAACTTTTCATCAATATCATCTCTTGATTCCACTAGTTGCGTTTTACCTGACATAGCCGTCAAACAGGTTGATCCCTTGCTTGACATTCGCATCACTTCAGCTTCTGTATCTAAAGTAATTTCCTGCTTAGACTCTTCAACAGCTTGTGGTCCTGACAACATTCCTGTTGTAGTCTTGCAGAGGTGTTCTCCTGAGCTTTCATCCATACTCTCTAAACTATTTAACAAGTGCTTATCAGAGTCTTGTTTTCCATCATGCTGGAAAGCAGCATCTGTTATCCCTATTTTCAAAAATTCCGGAGAGCGATCTGATTCATCTAACTACCGTCCCATTAGTCTTCTTCCTGTCATAAGCAAGGTTTTTGAATCTTTAATCAACAAACACTTAATCTCTCATCTTGAATCAAATAACTTACTTTCTGATCATCAATATGGATTTCGGTCTTCTCAATCTACAGCTGATGTGCTAACAGTAATAACCGATAGGTTTTACCGTGCATTAGATAGAGGTGGAGAGGTTAAGGCTATCGCACTTGACATTTCTAAAGCTTTTGATAAAGTTTGGCATGCTGGTCTTCTCCATAAGCTTTCTTCTTATGGTGTAGCTGGTAACGTCTTTAAGATTATTGAGTCCTTTCTTTCCAATCGTAGTATAAAAGTTGTCCTCGATGGACAACACTCTTCTTCACATCCTGTAACTTCAGGGGTTCCTCAAAGTTCAATCCTTGGCCCTATACTCTTTTTAATTTACATTAACGATCTTCCAGATATTCTCACATCTAAGGTGGCATTATTCGCCGACGACACTACCATTTACTCTTGTCATGATAAGAAGCCTACACTCTCTGATTGCTTGGAGGGGGTATCTGAGCTTGAAAAGGATCTCACTTCTGCTACAGCATGGGGCTCACAGTGGCTGGTGAACTTTAATTCAGATAAAACTCAATTTTATTCGGCCAATCGTTATCGTAATAATTTAGATCTTCCTATATTTATGAATGGTAATGTACTAGATGAGTCATCTACCATTCATCTTCTAGGATTAACTCTTACTTCTGATCTTTCTTTTAAACCGTATATCAAATCCATTGCAAAATTAGCATCTGCTAAGGTTGCATCTCTTTATCGAGCTCGACACTTTCTTACTCCAGATTCTATTCTCTATCTCTATAAATCTCAAATCCGTCCCTGTATGGAATACTGTTGCCACATCTGGGGCGGATCTTCTAATGATGCTCTTTCTCTTTTAGACAAGGTGCAAAAACGAATTGTAAATATAGTTGGACCTGCTCTGGCAGCCAATCTCCAACCTTTGTCACATCGTCGTAATGTTGCTTCTCTTTCTCTTTTCTACAAATACTATAATAGGCACTGCTCTAAAGAGCTAGCGTCCCTTGTGCCATCTACTAAAATTCATTCTCGTGTTACTCGCCATTCAATTAAGTCTCATCCTTTTTCTGTGACTGTTCCTAAGTGCTTCAAAAACTCTTATTCTTCTAGTTTTTTTCCTGGAACATCAGTTCTTTGGAATTCGCTTCCTTCATCTTGCTTTCCTGATTCATATAATTTGCAATCTTTTAAGTCATCAGTCAATCGTTATCTTGCTCTACAGATTTAGTCTTTTCTCTTCCAGTAACTTCCAACTCTTATAGTGGTTGCTTGCAGCCTTGTTGGAAGTGAAGATGTTAAAAAAAAAAAAAAAAAAAAAAACTATTTTTTTTAAAACTTTGTTGCACTTAACCATCCCTATATAAACGATATATATAAACAAATATGTTATTTGTTTATATATATTTGTTTTACTATATTACTATTTTTTTGCTATAAATATATAAGCATAATTAAAAAAATTTTTAAATTTGTTATGTTAAGGGGAGGTCTTAAAACCTCCAAAACAACACTGATGATAGCGCACTTAACCACTAAGCTACCAATGAAATGCATTTAGCAGAAAAACAAACCTAATTATAAGTCTCTTATAAGCCCTACATTTGCGGAAAAGGTGCGCGTGTTAAGTTTTTAGCTCTTAAAATTATTTTCAGATTATTATTTTACTAAAAAATATTAAAGTAAATAAGGAATAGGTATATAAATAATTGGTGTGGAATAGATATGTATAGAGATAATGGATTTAGTAAAGACCTGTATTTTTACAGGTCTTTACCAAATCCATTATATGTCCTAGCTTATTACCAAATATATTATATATCCTAGCTTACCGGATCCGGAGAGCTAGGATATATAAGGAAAAAGTATAGAAAAGTTTGGTTTGGAATAGACTTACAAAGACCTGTATTTTTACGGGTCTGATCTCAGCTAGTGTAATATTATTATATTAAAAAAAACTAAATAGAACAGTAAAACTTAATAAAGTTTACTTGAGAGTAGAAAGCAAATTGAAACAAAAACATAGAACAAAAAAACACATCAAGTGAAAAGCATACAAATGGCTCTGAGTGACAACAATAAAAAGTGCAGTGAAATATATATTATGTATATATAATTTACAAAGAAATAGATTAAAACAAAAATATTGATGAAAAAAAAAACAGATTGAGTGAAAAAAAAAAAAAAAATACAAGTGTAGGGAACTTTGAAAAACTATTATTTAACTTTTATTGTTTCCCACTCATTTATTCAAGATTTAATTACAAAAATCTTTTTAAACAATTTGTTGCTCTCCCACCTGTTATTATAGTGCAATGACATTGCAGCTATGGTAGTATTTGTAGAAAAGAGATGCAACTTTTGAAAGGCTCTAGCTTGGCAGATAGCAAGTTTAACTAGATTTACAATGTGTTTTTGTACCTTGTCTAGAAGAGAAAAAGCATCATTAGAAGAACCAGCTCAATAATTCTAGATCCACATCATTAAGCTTTAAATTGATGCATTTAAGAAAAAAATTAAACAGGTTTTGAAAATGTTATTAAACAAAAAATAACACTTAGTGAAAAAAACAGTTTTGCCCCCATTGTGAGGCACAACCGCACCCTCAAAAAAATCGATGGGGCTACACCTTTCATGGTACATTTTTTTTACAATTTTCACAGCTCAGATTATTTGATAATTTTGTTGCATGTTTGCATATTGTGCAGGCATTCTTTGTGTTTACATTTTGAGTTCTGCCCCAGAAGAGAGTTCTACCCCAAAAGAGAGTTTTTAGAAAGAATTCAGTTTCATAGATTAATTATTAGATTATGGTATTATCAAAAATGACTTTTACTTCATGAAATAATGCTGATAACACATATTTTTAACACTAAAATTAAATATTGCTTAATTTTTAAAAAAGAAGGTCAGGAAAAATATGATGTAAATATAATATTTTTATCAAAATAAAAATTATTATTCACAACTTCTCAGAAACTTAACAGTCACTCTTTTTGACATATGCAAAATGAAGGAAACTGTTTTACTAACGCGTGGTATGTTTTTTGCCATATTAGATAACATTTTTTGAAGAGAAATGTTAAAAAACGGCTGTGCCTCCATATGCGGTTATGCCCCCACTTCCCCTATATGTATATATATGTATATATATGTATATATATATATGTGTATATATATATATATATATATATATATATATATATATATATATATATATATATATATATATATGTATGTATAAATATGTATATATATATCAGATATATATATCAGATATATATATATATATATATATATATATATATATATATATATATATATATATATATATATATATATATATATATATATATATATATATATATATATATATATATATATGCATGTGTGTGTGTGTGTGTGTGTGCATCCATGCATTATACATACATCAATCTTTCGATACATACAATATACAAGCAATTTTCTGAAAAATAGTATTGTAAAAATATCAGTATCGGAAGACTTGGTAAGGTGACAAAGATTCTGAAAGGTCTGAGTTATCGCAAAACTATCAGTCATCAAACAATAATACTTAGTATGTTTATGTTATCTTTATTATTATTAGCTGCGTGAATTTTTAGTTTGCAATAAAAAAAATTTGAAATAAAAGTTAATAAAGTTCTTTGGTGATGTGACCGAGGCAAGATGACTTTTTATAAATGACAATTTATTCCTCCAAATTTGATAAAATTTTAAAAACTACTAACTATTCTCACTAAATTAACACAAAATAAATACGCAAAAAAATGATCCTAAGAAAGTTTTCCTGAGGTTGACATCATTAATTATGAGTATCTGAAACCGATCTATTTTTTATTAAGTGCAAAAAGTAAACTTATGCGTATAAAATTGCGTTAATAATATTTAAAAAAACCAATTAACATTTTAAAATACAAAATGTAAATATAGTTTCATTTTCACCTCTTTTTAAGTTCTGTTATATGAAAAGCCATCTTGCCCAACTCATCATCTTGCCCCATTTTCCCCTACATTTAATATTTTAAAACAAATCTTCTAAGCCAAATAAGTTTAAAATATTTAACTTATTTGGCTTAGAAGTTTTGTGGAAAAGTTTCCAGCAACAGAAAACATTTTTTAGTTGGGTGTTGACTTTAGTTGGGTGTTGACTTTAGTTGGGTGTTGACTTTAGTTGGGTGTTGACTTTAGTTGGGTGTTGACTTGGGCTATTGTTGAGAGCAGCATCATTCTTATGTAAAATCTTATTTAAATGTTCAGTTTCTGATTGTTTTAAATAGCTTTAACTTTTTTAAAATTTCTTCAATTGATCGAAATCTTGGGTAAAACTTTTAAAAATAATCTGATAAACAATATCTTGGCATAATGGATGTTTAATAGAAAATTTTTTTGCCAATCATAAGCAATGATTCTTAAAACATATAGTTATATTTCTAAAAAATGTGTGTCTATAAGAAAAATTTGAAATAATTACACAAGCAAACCAAAAACGTTTAATAAATAAAAAATTGAAATTGATTTTCTAAATGCAGATATGAAAATAAGTTTCTTTTAAAGAACTATAAAAAGAAGTGAGTTATTAGAATAATAATAAATATTAAAAATATATTTAATAAAGCAGTAGTAAATACAATAAGTAAACATAAACAAAATATTTTTATACAACATATTCCACAAATGTGTGAAATATAACTGTAGTTTAAAACATTAATGTATTTTTTGGTTTAAATTTAAATATATTATTTGATCATTCATTTCTTACAAGTCTTTAATAAATAAAAAATTTCACAAGTGATTTTCTAGCTTTGTATAAAAATTCTTGGCTACTTTTTTTTGTTTAGATTTAACAAAATTCTGATTCGTTGAACCTGTAACTAAAATCCTGTTATCTTCAGTTAGTTTTCTTGAGAATATTTAACAATTTATAAATCAAAATTTATAAAGATATTTAAAATTTTTTTTAGGTTAGATTGTATGATCCAGATAGAATGGAAATTTGTCATACTCTTGATGCACATTCAGGATCATTATTGGATTTTGATTTGAATGGGAATACTTTAGTGACATGTGGCTTTTCATCAAGGTATTTTTAAGTAATATATATATAAATATATATATATATATATATATATATATATATATATATATATATATATATATATATATATATATATATATATATATATATATATATATATATATATATATATATATATATATATATATGGATGGAAAATAAACAAATAGTTATAGAGTAAGTAGAGTTTAACAGTATTTTTGGATTTAGAGCTTTTAAGAGCTCTAGGGCACAATAATTGTGACAAGTCTTTATAGTAAAGAAAACTTTTGTCAACCAGGGACTTAATTAAAGCAGAATTGTATGAGTACTCTTTTGAGTCCTAAGGTGAAATAATTTTTACAAAATTTCACTTTTATTTACATTAGGACACATAATAAATGGTCCTAAGGGAACTTCAATGTTCTTGTAGTAATAATTTTTAATTATTATAGGTATGGTCATTTATCAGCTGACCAGTACATAATGGTTTACGATCTGCGTACATTACGATCATTTCCTCCTGTTCATGTATGTGTATTTCATAGTATATATATACATATATATATATATATATATATATATATATATATATATATATATATATATATATATATATATATATATATATATATATATATATATATATATATATATATATATATATATATATAAAGTATATGTGTATTTATTTTAATATATATATATATATATATATATATATATATATATATATATATATATATATATATATATATATATATATATATATATATATATATAATATATATATATATATATATATATATAATATATATATGTGTATAAACAAATGTTAAATGTCATTGATGATGTCAAACTGAAAAAGCAATATTTGAGGCTTCAGTTAGGGCAAGTTCTATTTAAATATGTCTGTGTATGTATATATGTATGTATGTATGTATGTATGTATGTATGTATGTATGTATGTATGTATGTATGTATGTATGTATGTATGTATGTATGTATGTATGTATGTATGTATGTACACAACAAATAGGGTTTAGCTATGCATGAAATGACAAATCAGACTGAATTAGCCATCTGCAGGTTTTTAGTATATTGACTAAGAATTTAGGTTTAAGCAGGTAGTATTTGTATATAAACATTAAAAGTAGTATTTGTATATAAACAGTAAAAAATAAAAAATAGTTTGCAAAATATAAATAACATAAGATTCTGAACCAATCCTTATATATATATATTATATATATATATATATATATATATATATATATATATATATATATATATATATATATATATATATATATATATATATATATATATATATATATATATATATATATATATATATATATATATATATATATATATGTATATATATATATATATATATATATACATATATATCTGTAAAAAAATAAAAATATATATATATATATTTATATATATAATATGTAATATTTTTATATTACAAAAATTATATGAGAAACGAGTCTAATCTATATATTTTAAACAACACAATTAACATTTTTAAACACATTAAATATGAGTTCTAAGCTCAGTTTTTACAGTTTAGGGTATCAGCCTGACAATGTCCAGAGCAAACTCAGGATTTATTGTTTTAAATTCATGGTTTTAGCAGCCCAGACAGAGTTTGTTTCCTGCTATCAGGGTACATTCTGCGATGGTCTTCTACGACTTGCAGCAGGAATTGCAGCTGCGTTTCATCGCGTGTTAAAAATCCACTGTATTCTTGAGTGAGGGCCACTCCACGTTCAGCGTGGTCATTTACAACTTTTAAAGACTCGACTGTTTCTGCAGCCAACTTGTAGTCATCTCTGTCTTCCCACAAGTCCGGATCAACTGTTAGAAATCCATATTGCATTTCCATCATTCGGAGCAGATTCATTGACTTTGCTGTGACAAAATCTTCTAAGTTCTTGTTCTCGAATGAATCAAGATCAACAGTGATACGCTTCGAATGATCCTGATCTTGGTCTTCTTCATTTTGCATTGCACTCACCATCAGTCTCTTTGTTGATGAACTGACCCGACTGTCGAAGAAAGCCAAGCTAACAAGTTCCTGTGACAAATACCACAAGTGATTGGAAAACTTGCTTGATGTTGACTTCGAGATCGCTAAATGGATTGATGAATATTCAATCAGTGACTTCAGCAGCAGCAGATCATTATAAGGAGCACCTGATGCTTGAGGTGCAGATATCCAGGCTTTCAGGTAGACACGTACTGTGAATACACACACGTCACGTAATCCTCTCACTTCAGCAGGAGTCAATTTAAATTGAGCCTTAAACATCCTGATCTTGAGACTATATGACTTTGGACATCCAGCAGGCATGGTGCATTGCTCAAGGTGACATGAATCGCACACCTCTGGCAGGAGCAGCACCAAAAAAAATAATTACAAGTTCCAAGAATTCTTTATAATCATTCCTCGACTGACTCTGTTTAAGATGCTTGTTGGCATAATCGATAGTGTCTTGCTTTATATCAGCCACGAGACGTTCGACATCATCAGTTGCAATCCCTGGCTCATAATTAGCCGTGTCTATGAAACCCCAGTATTGCTGGAAACGTTTGAATAGTGGAACTTCTGGACAAGATGTTGCTCCCATACACACTTGGAACACTGCACCAATTATCAGTTCCATAATGTGATGCCTACAAGCCAGTGATAAGAGCTCTTGCTCAAGTTTCTGTTCTAAGAGGACACAGGCACCAGCAAGCCGACCAGTATTTGAGCTGGTCGTGTCAAAACACATTGCACGGATGCTGTCGGCTATGCCCCAGTTTTCAATGGCTCCAAAGACAGCAGCAGCCTGTGCCTCGCCTTTTCCAGAAGGAAGCTTGGCAACTGTGAGTAGCTGAGAGGCTCCTTTTCCTAAAACCAATACGGGCAGGCCATCAACTTTCTCTTTTCCAAGTAGATCAGGAATCAGTTTGCCGTCCCAGTGAACAACAAGAGGAACATTATCCTGAAACTCGGCTTTTATATTTGCAAATCTCTGGACTCTGTGTTCCAATCTGTGTCAGCGAATTGAGTCTCTGTTAAGAGCAAATTTATTGATATTCTGTCCTAAGCTTTTAGCAGTTTCTGCTATAACAAAAACAGCCTTGCGGTCTGACATTTTTGTTCGATCTAGAGCTGCAGCGAGTTCTGGAGTAACAACAGTTTTTCGTCCCCTCTTTCTTTTAGGTGTCTGAAAAGTGGTGCCTCCAACAGCTCCCTCATTTGCATTGTCACTAGTTTCAGTCTCTTCAACATCCTCTGCTGTACTGTTTTCAGATTCAGAACTAGATGATTTCAGTTCAGCTGTAGAAACGGCTAGCTGGTTCATTTGCTCCATTCGCTGTTGCCTGTCAAACATTTGCTCCCTTCTTTTGGAAGCCCTTTTTTCCTTAGCAGCAAGTGTTTCATCTACTCCAGCCATTGACCCCCTTCTTCCCTTTTCTTGCTGGGCTACTAAGAAATCCTTGTCTTCTTGTAAAACTGATGTATTGGTCAGGGCATGGGCGTGAGCGACATCAAAGAGATCGTCAAGTTTTAAAACAAAAGCTGACTCTCTCCCAAGTTTAGTTGTTGTTTTTCGCGCTTTGTTCTTCTTAAGAAGATGCCATTCTTCAAATGTCTGTTCAAGCTTCGTTAGGCAGTTCTGATGATCTCTCATTGAGATTCTAGCTTTTTGCCAAAACTTTGTTATTTCCGTGATGGTAACAGCCGATAATTGTCTTATCGTCTCCTTTAATTCAGAGTTGAATATTTATCTGAAATAAATATAAAAAATGCATTGGAAAAAAGTCAGAAATTTTAACATGTATTGTATGGTTTATTTAATTATTTTTAAAAATATATTGTATATTACATATAATTTATGTTCATTTATTTATCTCATCATCATCATCACATTCATCGGCATTATCAGTTTAACGTCCATATTATAATATAGAATTAATTAATTATTAATATATTTACTATTTACAATTTTACACTCACAAGACACAAAGAGTTAAGGTATTTTAATATATCAATCTTTTAATTTACCAATTGATAAGAATCAGGTACTGGAGAGAAGAAAGTCAACACCAAAATTATAGCAATCTTCTTTAAATTTGAAAATCAAGAAAATTTATTTAAACAATATTTCAACTTAAATTGCCATTTGTATTTTAATAACTAAAACAATGCCTCTATTTAGTAAACAAAATAAGCATACAGCTTTAACAGTGTTGCTTAGTCAGCAACTCAGCATTGCAGTAAACAAGTCTGCCTAGCTAGTGATCCTGTCTGTCTGGGATTATGTTTTGATTTATGTAAATATATATATATATATATATATATATATATATATATATATATATATATATATATATATATATATATATATATATATATATATATATATATATATATATATATATATATATATATATATATATATATATATATATATATATATATAGCTATGTGTTCTTAATGGTTGATTGAGATGGTTAGTTTCAGGATGGTGTCATCATTGACATATCATGTTTAACTAAATCTGCAAATATGTATATTAGTCTTTGTCAAAATAAGTTATTAATTTATATAAACTTGAGATTAGGTTAAGGCGTTGTTTAATTAAAAATAATTTCCTTTTTATTTATTTGTTGTTTATGATGACTTGAATGTCTTCCTCTAAGGTCAAAATGGGCAAAACTTTAGATTTTTTATCAAATTCTGAGTGTTTTTGGGAGAGTAGTGGAAAAGTAAATATAAAATATTCTTATTGGTCAATAATCTCACTGATATTGTGTAGTTTCCATATATTATACTCTAAGATCCTTTGTTTCAATTGTATCTTTAAATAAGTTTTAACTTTTTTAAGTTTTGTTAAGAACAAAAGTTATATATATATATATATATATATATATATATATATATATATATATATATATATATATATATATATATATATATATATATATATATATATATATATATAAATTAGTAGAAAATCACTAAGCAAAATTTTTTTGCTAAGTGATTTTCTACTAATTTGTAATTGCTCTGTTCTTTTAAGAACATTGAGCACTCTTTTTGTAGAATACATTTTAAATTGTTTAAATATATATATATATATATATATATATATATATATAAATTGCGGAAGTGGTGTAGTGGTAGAGCGTTTGCTTCATAAACGAGTGGTTCCGAGTTCGATCCCCACCACGTCCCTGGTAGTACCGCGCTCAACTCGTTTCTCCGCGCAGCGGCCTTGTTCGTCAAGGTTCGTGTTTCGGAGTTATAGAGTTGAGAGAGGGTTATAGCCACAAAATAAGTAGCCTCCTCGTCTGTAGTGGCCTTCTCGGCCTTGAGGAGGTGAAGTAAAATTAAAAAAAAAAATATATATATATATATATATATATATATAAATCAAAAATAGTAATAGAAATTTTGAACCTGGAAGAGCTATCAGTCAAACAACAACAAAATGCTGAACAAAATAAGATATTTAAATTACCAA